CCCCAAAACCCCAAAACCCCAAAACCCCAAAACCCCATTATAAGCGGTTGATATAGAATTTAGGTTTAAGTTAAATTTGTACACGTGTAGTTGGTTTAGAAGAAATTGGCTTTGAGGGTTGGAACTTTGAGAGAGAGTTTGGTGGATGGGTGGACAAGAGTTGTTTTACTATACTATCTCTACACTAGACGGCAACACAGCTCTCCTCACCACCTTCATCCCCAGATCCACGCCTTCCCAAATCCCCCGATCTCCTCAACCTCTCTCCTATCTTCACCCTCTCTCCCCCATCCTTCTCCCACGTTCCCTTATTCCCAACCCCATTCGTCCAAAATTTCAAACCTTTGCTTTCCCAAGTCAAATTCCTATATCCTCACCCACTTGGATCCAAGCGGGTGAGGGATTTGAGAAACTGTGTTTGGTAAAGGAACAAGAAGGAGCAGGGGGGAGGAAGAGGAATAGGTCACTGGCTGGGAGGAGGGGAGTAGAGGAAGGAGGATGGCTGAGAGAGGTGGAGAGAGGGATTAGGTGGGGATGTGTGCGCAGGGGTTATGAGAGAGGTGGAGCGAGGGAGTGGGTGGAAGTAGGTAGGGGGGTATGAGTGTAGTTGGGGAGGGGTTTTGGGTAGAAGCTGGAGGTGGTAATGTGGGTGATGGAGTGGTTTTAATGGGTTGGGAAGGAGCAAAGATAGGCTTTTATATCGTATTAGTAGTGTTTGAGAGGACCTCTATCTGATAATTTTATGATTAGTATTAGGATATCATTTCTTGACCAATCAGTTGAACTCATCTTCGACCCCTAATTGGCCAAGTGATATTCTTTAGGATTTATCTCTTTATCACTTTTAAAAATTGGAATCATCGGATCAATTAATTTCATATGAATTATTCCTGGGATGGGTTGATATTTTTTGAGCAGTGAAGAATTTTCTTATTATCTACTCTATATTTTGAAGCTATCCAAATGACTCTATCAGTATCATTGGCTTTAGCTAAAATCTTCGGCAAAGCTTTACTAGTCTTTAAGCCTGATTCAAAGCATGCTATATCACTAAAGCAAAAATAAAATAGCTGATTTTGACTATTTGAGACTATTCTTGATGATTAGTTATTCCCTATCTCTTGGTGTAACATATCTAGAGTCTTTAAGAAATCTCAGATATCCATCTTAGAATAATCCAAATTGCCAAGAAGATGAATCTTGATAGCTGTTTGGGATTTGGAGTTGGTTGAATCAACTGTAATATTTTAGTAACCAATTTCATACTCTGCAACCCCTAACCTCAAACCTCAGCACATAATTTTTGGACGGGGAACTCTGTGAAGTGATCAATATTGTCAAAATTTATTTCAATTCCTTCCAAATTCAGTTCAAGAAGAATCTTCCAAATTTTCAGATCTTCGTTCGATATCCTTCGGGATAAAGCTGGAAACTTGTTCATGAGGATATAGGATCCTCTCATTTTCGTTTAATAAGGCAGGAAATTCGAAATATGAGAGGCTTTATGATAAAGTATTTTCTCTTGCACAAATCTGGGCTTGGATGTCTCTTCAAAGCAGTTTCAATATATTTTAGTTTTCATTTGCTGAACAAAAGAGTTTAGAGAGTAATAAAGTAGGCATTGGTATTCCAATATTCACAATCCCCATTTTCCTTTGTTTTTCTGCTAATTCTTAATATTAGTAGAGGTTTTAGCTCAAACCATAAATTTTAAGGGTGACAAATATAATATTATAACCAAATTTCAGGGAATCTGGAGTTTTATGAGATAGAGGGTTTGCATGCTTCTATAAGAAAATTTAAGAATTTTGGGGGATTTATTTAGAAATTTGAAGAAGATACCTCAAATTTTAAGAATAGGATTAGGAGATGTATAGTCTTATGGAATAATTAATTTAAAGTGTAATACGATAAAGATTTTTTAGTATAAAAGCATTTTTTAGGTGTTTTGGTATTATTTATTGAATATAGGGAATGAAAACTTGATAAGATTAGATAATTTAAATAAAAAGCTTAACTATTTTGCTTGAAATTCTTGATAAATTTTGCAAAATTAATTTCTCCTATCTTTAAAACATTGTTCTCCTATAACTTCTGATTAGCCTGAAAATCGAAGTAAAGTCCAAAATAATTTCGAGCTAAATAAATCATAATAAACCCGCTAAAATTAGCAATAAAACTATTAAACACAAATATCGGGCTTTACAGTAATATACTAATTTTCCAAACATTTCAAAAGTAATTAAGAATCATTGCCATAAATTATTACTTAAATCAATGATTTCTATATCAGGAGTAATCCTCTGCTTATTTATAAACTTTTTAGTTCTTGTCATTTTTTCTTACTGATTTCAGAATAATAAGCTTCTCTCCTTAATTTTTCTAATGCTTCCCATCAAAAGAGGGTCTCAACAAAAAGAATGCTTTATCGAACTTGACTGAGCATATTTTATTTTTCCTAAGTGAGGTAACTTGGTATATCTTTCCACTCTGATGAGCAGTAAGTCTTCTTTCTTCTTCTCCCCCTAGATTATCAAGTAGTACAAGGACGCCGAATTTTTTAAATATCTTCAGAATTGATTAACCAAAAATATCAAGATTGAGATAGTGTTTGTTAATACTCACACTAAAGTAGTGATGCTTGTTTTTTTTGCCTTTTAGATGTTTCAGTACATTCATATAGTGAGGTGGCTTTTTAAATTTTTTGAATAACAAAGAAATGGGATCAAGACAAATATTAACGTCTCAGGTTTTTCACTAAGTTGTAAAGGCTGTTGGCCTTTGTTGTTGTGCTTTCTTTAGCAAATTTAGCTAATTTTACACAAACATTCCTTAGACGAGAAAACTCATCAATTGCTACAATATCAGAGATCCGAAAAGTCACCCACTTAGTCCTCTTTTGGGATATATATGATTCCTAATCATTACTCCAAATTCTGTTGAGTTCTACTTCAGGGTGTTCTATTCTTTCTATATTGGCAATTGATGTTACTTCAAAAGCCTTAAAGTCAAAGTTATCTTTGATCTTTATGCATAATGCTGCTCACATTCGAATGGTTCATTTAAACATGCTATGCATCTTTGTGTGTTCTTTTGGAAAGAAAAGAATTACTGCTCTTGCCTTGACTCTTACAGTGTCACAAAATTTATCGATATCTCTTGAAATTTTAAAATTTACCTTTGTTGGTCGAAGGACTTGCAAGGCAAAACTCAAAAAAATGTTGTCGATACTATCAGTTTTCGATGGGTTTAGCTCCTGCAAGTCAGGGTATCATTTTTTGATAATCTTATTGAAAACTTCGGCTCACTCTAATTTTTCATTAATATCTTTAAATCAGACATTCATCACAAATTTAATTCTTGATATATTTTTAAACACTGGAATCCGGCAGCTGTTCAAATCAATCATAGAAAGGTTTGAGTAATCTTTGAATTTATCTCCGTATAAATGGATTTCCTTGTGATTGATAATGAACTTAGAATTTATCAACAAAGTAGCTTCAGTATCACCAGTCTTCGGGTAAATTTGTAAGCCATGAATTTCTCAACAAAATATACATTCAATCGGGAATAAATTATTATAAAAATATGCAGTTTCTATACCCTTGTCATTTGTGTAAATTTTTATTTGGTGCAGCTCTAGGTTTAATGGACTAGATAGTTGTTCAAATACATATTGGAACTTATTTTTTTCAATGCCTCTATACTCAGAAGCATCAAAATTCTTTCAAATATCATTAATCTTGATCATTTTTATTTGTTTTGGACTTGGGGTTGAACTAAGGAATTTTTTGATCTTTCAGACATATAGTCCTTTGAATAGATTCTTTGCATTCAAGACAAGACATCAGTTCTGAAGTAGGGTATTCTGAACCTAATAATCAATGTTATAATCTTTAACTTCAATTGTTCCATCATTTTCTTTGATTTTGGTAATCCAATTTTTCAAGTTTCCCTTCCAGAGCTCCCTTGATTCGTGGGAAAACTGGTCCATGAATTATTGTAACCAATGATTTTGGTGTAATACTCCAGAACTGTTACTGCTCAGGATTGCTTTTGAAATAAAAATTTCCTCTTGTTGTCGGTGGTCAAAGATTTGTTGGGGTTTACCGCTGTAGCTGACAATTGCGTGGATAACTGTGTGCAATCAGAAATGGCTTAAAGTATGAAGGAGAATTTTAGAAGTTATATTTATCTCAATCTTTCAAGGAAGAGTATTAGATTAAGGAATTTAGCAAGTATTTTGAGTATTTCAATCCACCTTTTTGTACAAGGGGTTTTGGGGTTTTGGGGTTTTGGGG